TTTATCTATGAAATTTGTTTTAATGACGTACACATATAATGTTTTCCCGGGCTCACATGGACATTTGTAATATACGCGTGTATAGGTGTATATGTTTTTGAATTTTTTATATTTCTTATTAGCCGCTGGTAGAAACCATTCAGCTCGACAAATACATGTTTAATACGTGCACCGTACAGTGTTTCAGCGTCGTCGCGAAAACGTTGTACACGCGTTTTTAATCCTTTCCGTTGGTATGACGATAAATTATTATAACCGCGTATGGGTGTGAACGCAGAGACTTCGTGATACGCGTCATACCGTCGGTACTGAAATATTATTACAGACACGATTACAATTGAGGGCGCAGTAGGGTTGATGGGGGATATATCCCCCAACATGGGCTTTTTTTTTTTTTATTAGTCTTAAATGTTTAAAAATGTATTTAAGAAGTACGACGGGGCGTCACGGTTAAATGGATTGCGTTAATGAACATACATCGAGACATTCCATTATCTACAGAACAAATTATTGATGAATTTAATGTAAAAACCAGAAGGATGAATTTTCGTCTCGATTGAATATTTTTTTGTATAATAATGAAGAATAAAAATTGAAAATTATACATTTTTATGTATAACATCCCCCTCCCATAAAAAATTCCTGCGCACGCCACTGCTCTGTAATCCGATATTGTTAACGAATCGGCAGCATCTACGTATGGGGGGGGGGGGGTTTATTTTACGAATTTTTAATACATAAATTGTATAATTCGTATGAGATTTACACGATTTCCAAATACACTTCATGCTTATACATCGTTTTGGCGTTATGTATATGTAATGAAATATAAATAAATTTCTTCTGATGTGTACAGGAAACGGTTTTCTTTCCGTTTTTCTCATTTTCTAAGTCGGTTCACTTCAACTAGTATGGTTAAAAATGTCTCTTTCGCGCTATTTTACAAATGCTACTATATCGCTCTTCAGATAGTGCACATGTACGCCTTTGTATGTTGTCATCATCAATTTATATTTCAATTTATCACCTAATTCTTTTTAATGACGGACGTGATATAATACATTATTATTATATTTTTCATGTTGGTATGGTTTTTCTCCATTGAGTATATAATGTGATGTACTTTTATATCTACTGTATTAAAAAAAAAAAAAAACTCTTTTTTTCGCACAAACGATTAATTAATTTCCCGCTTGAACAATATATGTGAAACTCGGGTAAATTTCAAGTAATTCGTTCAAATTAATGACGTCCCTAAGCAGTCACTACAAATGTAATAATAAAACAGGATTTAACAATAGACACAACAACTATTAATATTTTTCTATTGCTGAGAACCTGTTTTTATCACGTTGAACGCAAACGATTTCAGCGACATCTAGTGGCAGCGTCCGTGCTGACGCTTACAAAAACAATAGGATGGTGTAATAATATTTTAAAAATCAATGATATTATAGTGTATGCCTAACACATGTATTATTAACCGATAGTAAAATAATCATTTTTAATAATTACATTCGATAATCGTGGTTTATTGTCAAAAAGAAATTATATTATTTTTTATCATTACGCGATGATTGTTGATAAGAGGTATCATCGCGGATACAGGTGGATGTGTGCGAGTTTAACGGACTACATTCCGTTTTCGATGACTTCTGAATTGCTTAAAACGAAATGGTGTTGAACGGTTAAAAATAATGTTGTCGGCGGGAGAAAGAATGATAATGTTGATGACGATAGTAATAACAACGATTGTACGTACACGTACACAGTCAACTGTGTATCGTATTTCAGATTTTCAACATTCAATCGCTGTAATCATATATCTACGTATTATTATCGATGACACGACGAGTATCGAGTCGCCTCGGTCCTGAATCGAACTCCCGAGCGCGTGACCGTGGATCCGTGTTCAACGGTATGACGGCGGTGTATTACACCTGGTTTTCAAAACGTTTTTTTTTTCTATTAATTACGTGCCATGTGTTGTTGTACACCGACTGCCATTACCGAAGCGGTCGAATAGCGCGTGCGAGGTACAACGATTCCACCGATATTCCCGAAACGTGTTGCGGCGAACAATGCGCCGTCTGCAGTGGATCAGTCGTCGTCTCGTAAAACGTATTTCTACCAGTCGCGTTTCGAAATTTCCAACCGTACGAAAGCGTTTTTGTGGAACGCAACAGGTTTTAAATAACTCTGTTGTACTCTTTTTGTAATTCTATACAGAATGGGCGTATATATAAAAAAAAAGGGTTTTTACGCTTTACCGTGCGTCGAATTTCGAAAACTTTTGTCCTTACATCCGTATGAACACCGTTTTCGTCGTGCCAAGCCGACGTACGCTGTACAAGTTATTAAACGACAACGAAAAATCTACCGATTTCAGAACAGCGTTCGCATTGCGTGCAACACCTCGAATTAGTTTTTACCATTATCGGTGAACAACAATTACATTTTGTCTCGAAAAAAAGAAAAAATTGATAACCGAATAAACACTGTAAAAATATTTCAACTGTTAAAACTGAAAACTTTTTATTTGTCGTACGTTAGTACTTTTATCTCACCAAAATAACCAACGGATCAAAAACGAAATTATAAAACATGTTACGCGCGCATATAAAATAATTATTACCTACGTCCGAGAATACCTAACGAGGGGTCCTAAAAAGTAAAAGTTGTTTGATATAATTTGTAGACGTATAAATAATTACATATATATATATATATATATTTTTTTTTAATGAGACTACTACCGCTGGAGATGCACAGCGATGATAACTGATGGAAGCTGCCGTATGACATTTGTCGGTTAGCAACATTATATACTTGGACCGTTTTCAACAGTGGACCCAACGTTGTATCTTATGTACACCGTGGATAGTAATATTATTATTATTACAATAACAAAAATGTTATTCGGTAAAACGTATACGTTTATTCCGCCCCTCTCTGTCGCTCGATCGCTTCACTATTTCTACCCGACGAAAATAAACATATTGACATGCGGACGACACACATCTTGAATAATAATACATGGGTTGATCTATTAGTGCGTCGCAGTGTATACGGTAATGGTATGTACGTACTGCAACGGAACGTGTGTTTATTTTTTTTCCTGTTTATTGTTATTCCGCCCAGTTTTCGAATCGGAACCAACATTACCGTATCGAAACTTTTCCGTCCTCGGACCAAACCTCCGCAGGGCTTTAAACATTTCCGCTGGATTTCCTTCAGTGCCGTACGTCCTGCAATAATATATATTATTCATGGAAAATCACGCCGGCCCACTCGAGTCGGTCAGTTTTTGTTTGTTTACGACGGCCACGGTTCTGCGCTCCGCACGGAACGATTGTTATTTTTTCGATCGCATTCGAGATCCAATCGATTAGCCAATTGCGTTGCACGCGTTATTGTTCTGCGTATGTTTATGTACGACCCGAGAATTGCTGCAAGATTTGCAATTACATTTGGACGGTCGGTTGATAGAATTCGCACACACGTACACGCATGCGATTCAATTAAGACCGTACAAAGCCTATGTTGACGCTGCAATAGAACGACAAAACAATGATGACGGGTTACTTAAAAGCACTCATATTATGGTTACCGCAGTCGTATGGATTAGATAACGGTCCTGGAATTCTCGGCTACCTTAATACGTGCGCTCATCGATTGACATTACTACGTATACGTAAATATTTGCACGAATTATACGCGCAGAGGGGGATTCCCCCGCTTGGGCTTTTTTTTTTTTAGTCTTAAAATACGACGGGGCAGTCACGGTTAAATGGATTGGCGTTAATGAACATAAATCGAGACATTCCATTATCTTTAGAACAAATAATAGATGAATTTAGTGTAAAAGCCAGAAGGATGAATTTCCGCCTTGATTGCATGTTATATTTGTGTAATAACAAAGAATAAAGATTGAAAATAATACATTTTTATTTATGACATCCCCCCTCCATACCAAATTCCTGCGCACTCCACAGCCTGTGCGATGTCGAAACGGGACGATGATGAAGTACTCCATCTGCTCGAGGCACAATATCTTAAATACGGATTGAAATCATAATTACTGTACACGTCGCATTGTTACGAGAACATGATGCTGTAACGTGCGGTCACCGTGAAACGGTGTCATCGCAGCGGCGTATGGTAATCATTCCCGTATGCAAATTCGTCGCGTGCACGGTGTAACATTTATTCATTCCGTTTGCTTTCGTCGGTAACGCATTTCGCAATACGCGCCGACCAAGTGTGAATAGAAACAAAAAAATATTCGCACGGCGTTCTCGCGAGACCCGAAGGTTACAGTGCCACAGATCGAAGGACCGATGACCGATGGACCGTTGCTGCAACTGTGCAAACAACGAACCGCGGTATATTGTTTTAGGACAACGGTCGAACGTGTTTCCAAACGATCCAAACGAGGGGGGTGCGACCGTATGCGCTCCGTACCTGTGCACGCGCGCCCGTACCAGCAATCTACGAATAAAACGTGTAAAAGAACCACGAACATGTTTCAGTCGTAAAAATAAAACGCGATATCAGCGGCACGTATCTCCCGGCTCCGTCCGAGAAGGCGGTCTTTGTAATACATTTTTATCTGATCGAACGATGCGAACGGGTCGTGGACAGATGATGGAAAACGAAACGGTTCAAAAAAACGCGGATGACGGACCGTGGCCGAGTAAGAACTCGTCCATGTCCTCGTTCAGTCGGAAACGGCGCAGGTACGTTCTTCTTTATTTTTCCTTATTGTTCCTGCGTGCAGCTAATACCAGAAACGATCCATGACCGCCGGGTCGCGACCGCTGCAAGACGTAACGCGGAAAAATAAATAAAATCTGTGTTCATCAGGATCGAGGTAATAATAATATCGTATTATGTTATTCTTTTACGTCGGCGAGCAACGTCGACCGCGGCGACGCGGTATGACCGTGCACCGTCAGAGGTCGCGTTGCGCGGCCGGTCGCGCCGACCCCATCCGTTCGTAGACGGTCCAGTTCACCACGCGAGACGCGCCGTGTATCACGCGTACCACCCTGTATGTCGCCGTCGTCCTGTCGATCGCGATATATCCTATTATTAACGACGACGTTGCGTCTCCGCTGTTTATCCATATCGGAGGTGTGCAAACGAATCTACATTGTTTTAAACTAATCCGATTACTATACGCTCGCGCAGTGCGAAGAAAACGATGCGGTCAAACGCCACGCGACCCGGACCTACGAGGCCAGTGTGATCGGAGACGCGTTTGTGGTTTTTTTCCCCTCCCCGTCGGTTTTGAGCTTCGCGTCTCGCGGTAACCCGAAACAGCCCTGTGCAAAATGAAGGACTTCGCAAAGGCTTCCGGCGGCGTCCTCGTCGTTCTCTCGTACTTGTTGATAACGGTCCTGGGCCCCGGAGCCCGAAGTGACGACCTCAACGATCTGTCCGACAACGTCAGGTGCCCTTGGCTGTGCTCGTGCGACCAGACCACGGCTGATTGTTCCAGAAAAGGTCTGGACGAAGTTCCCAAGAATCTCCCGCACGACATCGAAAGACTGTAAGTACCATCCCCTCGGCTGTCTCGGTCGCTTGGCGTTTCGCCACGACAAAAATAAACTAATAACATAGATTTCATACGTATGCAACCGTAACGTTTCCGTGATATCTCAACCCTGTGTAAGAGGGTTATGACGGATTTGTCACAAATCCTTTTGTTTTCGGATCGAGCGTTAACCTCACTACCCCTCCGTAAGTTCTCGACAGAACTGGTTTTTTATTTCCATACAACGACTAACCACATCAATCACGCATTCGTTTTCGACCCCTTTTTTTCAATTGTTCTTGCGGTCGGACTCGTCAAAAAAATAAATAAATCGTGTTCCAGCGTGATAGCGTGTCTGTTTTTTCATTCTTGTGTACCAAGTAGAGTAACACTGTTGGATTGCCAATATTATAAATTAAATTGAAACTTTCTAAAGTAAAATAATAACTATTTTGTTTTTATCTCCAACTTGCGTACAACGAGAACATTGTACCACAGGAATGACATTGCTATTTTATAATATGTAATTTTATTTTATTATTTTTTTCACAATCATCATGTTCGTCAATGACAAATAAGATAGACGCGAATTCTACACTTGAACTCTTGAAAGATCGTAGTCATCTTATAATCATAACACCTACGCTACGTAGGATTACGTTTAAATTATATTTACAACACAAAGTTAAAAGAGCATTCTGCGCTATAATTTTATAATTTTGATGAGAAAAACAAAACTATTGTTCCGATTACGTTTTGTTGGTTTTTCATACTATTTTGTAATAGAAAATTAAATATACGGGCTAAAATTCGTTGATCCGTTATCCCTAACAGTATCGGTTAGATAAAGTGAAAAGAGAAAATCTTGTTGAAAATAAATATACCTGTATATAATATACGTTTGACAAAACGTCTTCATCGTTTCTCTCAAATGTTTTAATAAAATGATCCAAAACAAGTGCAGCGAAGCAATTAAAAAATATATTAACGTGAAATTGTTCATAATTTTTCTCTAAACCATCGAGTAACATTGGTATTGCTATTATACGGATCGACTTTTAATGTTGTACTGCAGATGAGTTACATTATTTTAAAATATATTTTAACATTGGATGATATGATATACAATATATTGTATTCCCATTATGAAACACTAGGGAATCATTTTTGAGAAATCAAAATAGCTTTATAATGTGTCTCATGGTAACTGACAATTACAAATGTAATTGTCAAAAACATTCAGTGTCCATTAGTATAGTATATTGTATAATATAAGCTATAGGTACGTTGGAATAAGAATTTATACGAAGTTGTACATTAAATTGAATGGACTATTAAAGCTTTGAAATGGTTCTTTTGAGTAACTTGTGTCAAAACTTTTCGACTGGACCAGAGCCAATGTCCGCGTGTTATGATTGATATGGCAAGAAACCCCTCTGTTGGCACACGAATAGAAAACCATTTTTTAAATACACACAGCCCCATAACGATCGTTGAGGAGATTTGTTTTTTACGATACAATATTCGTCATCATATAATTTAATATAATATATCACCAGAATAGAACGGTTAAAAGTCCTATTAAAATAAAATGGCCGTCGTGAGTGGATTCGGCCGTTAGCAGACGACTTGCAGCTGGCGGTTAAATACAAATGTGTGTATCGTCCCTGTTTGGAATGTGGGTTTCTTTTATTATTTATTTATTACTTTTATTTTTATTTTTTTTTTGAAAATATTGAATTTTTATACCCTCTTAGTCGTGACCACTTCTTATCTAGACACGATGTTGTCATGTCCTCGGCGCACTTGTGTATCTGATCGTAACATCTAGTCAAATACATTTATGAATATTCCTTGAAGGTACACGAAGCTCGTATTTTCCGATAGTAACTTTTTTTTTATATAAACTAGCTATAAGAAACTGTAAGCGAGTTGTCTCAAAAGTGAATGGTGAATATTATTATATTTATTTATTATTATTATCATTATTTTTTTTTTTTTTATCAAGTCTTGTTAGTATATGTGAAACGGAATATTATAGTACCATAATGCTGGTCGCTGGTTTCCATATGTCAGTAAAGTATGGTCGAAATCCGTTTTATTGAAAACTCTATTCTCCATTATCGTCGGGGGAAGCAAATAAAACCTACGGAGTGCATTGAACCAAATTGCGTAGTTGTAAAAGGGAAAAAAGGTTTTTTTGAACCTCCATTCTCTATTTACCTGTTTGGTAGCATTTCAAAATAATTTTATTAAAATGCATTATAAATTAAATAAAATTCTAAAATTAATTTTAAATTCAAACAACTACGGATAGGTAGTTTTTATTTTAATAAATATTTTATCAAGTCCTAAAACATTTCATATTTTTTGATAAATTTGTTAACAAAAACAAACTTTTCTTTCATTATTTTTGTAATACAGTTATTAAGGTATAGTTTAGTAGTACATCTTAATGACGCGATATGTTTAACGAATTCATGATCGCTTTTGATTGCCCTATATATTTGTGTTGTTTAAATAATTCTTGAAAGAATGGCATTTCATTTTGATGATTACTTTTCAAAAATCAAAGACAGCACAACAAACAATATTTCTCAGAACAATAAATATATTCCCATGTTGTTAATAATTTATTGAAAAAATTGATATTATAATTTGCTAGTTATACAATATAGGTATTCAATTATAATTTTGATTTAATGTATTTATTCTATTGCAAATATTTTATTCCACTATACGAATAACAAATGGCATAATATGTCATATTATGTCTACAGCTTTGTTGATGCAATACAATTTAATAACCATTTTGTAACTTTTTAATTTTTTCAACGTTGGTGGTCATGAAATTTGCATACATAGATTTGAGACCGCAAAAATCAATTTCAAATTAGTATCTTTTATTATTATTATTATTTGGAATGTGTCATATTTTTATTTATTTATTATTATTTATTTTTTTTAAATATTTTCACGAGATTCTAACGCATCACACCCCACTATTGTTTAAAATTTATGTATTCAAATTAACATGCTCGCACACTATGGGTAATTGCAAAGATGTAGTTAGCTTTGATAACCAAGTCCCCAACGTGTATATAATATTGATGCACAGATTGCATTTAAGATAACGAATATTATTTCAGCAACGATTTACATCATAAACAAGACTTGGTTTTATATTTCCGGTCGTGTCGTTAACAGCGTGTAGCAGACGCGTTCGATGATAGGTATAATAATATAGGTTCGTAGAATATGATGTACCATAGATCTTATACCGTAAAAATATTTTTTTAAAAATCATACTTAAATTAGATTTATCGTGACAGTATATCCGAAACGGTTTCAAAATGTGTTATTTGGAAATTCATTTAAATGTAATATGCAATATGTATTTACCTAGTGACGTACACACAGTACAGTACACTGTGTTATAATTCGTCGCTTTGCTCAGTTTGAGAAATGTATTAATTAAGTTATTGATTTTGGATACGATTTGGAGATTAGGCTCAGATTACGTAGAACGTATTATAAACAGATTATAAAAGTGTTCTGTGGTTTAGGTAGGAAAGTCGGCTTGGATTCGAATATTGTAGTGCCGATAAGTTTTCAGTATTGAAAACGAATCATTCAACCCAAAAATAAATGATCCGATGACCAGTGAGCGTTCGATTGGCGATTCTTGGAAACATTTCGAAATACATAAACATACATCATGCTGTATCCATTAATCAGTTGTTTGGTGTTTATGACGTCGTTTTACTGGAATTCTCGTATTTTTATGTGGTACAGAAACGGAAAAAAAAATATATTTGAGTAAAATCAATTTTCGCTGAGATATCCTTGAGCTGCACATATTTTTAATACCATTACGATAACTGTTTCGTTTACAATTTCTGTTACTGTGTCAATACTCATTCCATTGTAAACGTTATAATTATATAAAATATAATATTTTCCATGTTCTGATGATTACACTTTTGAACTTATGGTGGTGCTAATCGTTAACATTAAATTTAGTTTATTTATTTGGTTATTTATTCAACGTAATGTAAGGACATTTCAATTTTCTTTTTTTTTTTTTTTTTTTTTATTATCCTCACACCTAAAAACATTACTTCGATTTTAGCAAAGATATTTTTTATTATTTTATTATTTTTATTGTAAATAAAATCTTAGTAGACGTACATTATAGTAAACTTTTAAAGCGAAGAAAAAATATTTTAATAAAAAATACCAAATCGATTGAAAGTGGTTTTGAATAAATTGAAAATTACAGAAGTAATATTAACGGATAGATTGTTTTGTTTAAGGATAAAAAAAATCGGGTCATCGGGTATTTTTACATTAATTATTTTTCGACGTTGCAATGAATATAATTTTTATTGCAGATATGACCGAAACACGCAATCAATCATTTTATAGGAAAAATAACGAAAGTCAAAATATATCGTTCATATCGTTTAGGATCAGTAATGTGTCAAGTGAACATATGGGCTTAAATACTACGAGCGGTAAATTTTATCCAAGCAACAATCTATGACGTATATTTCACAGCGGAAACTAAATCGAGGAGGCAAAGCTTGTACTCGACGTTCACTACGCACTTCCGTTACTAGGATTTTTCACTTGAGTCTTGATGAGATCCCTATTCTTCTTTCTTTATGATGTATTATAGCGTTACGGATTAATTTAATTTAAATCATTATTCGTATAAAAGTAAAAAGTATTAGCTAATACCGAACAACGGCATTAAAGCTTAACACAAGTATATTTTTGAACATTTATACAAAAAAGTAAATCGATGGGCAAACGAAAAACAAGAGTAATTTATATGTGTATATATTATTTACGATTAAAACCAATTCTCAATAATTCAGTACAATAAATCATTACGTTTTAACGAAGGTATTTATTGCAGCAGCACAAGTAGTACATAGTAAAATTTCGTATAATCTATTTGATTTCGTGCGCATGAATCTGGTCGGCATCTGTATGTAGTGCATTGAATG